GGGATGGAGCGGTAGTTCTTATTATGGATCAATAGTGTTTGTCGATAAACTTATTAACTGTCGGCATCCGATTTCCCATTGGAGGAAGAACCATGTACCATTTGGGAGGGATATGATCGAGGATTTAAAAAATAAACTTGCTGCGGCTCAGGAAGATGACTCCAGTCTCCCTACGGATATTTATGATCTATCAATCAGGTTGAGGAATGCCTATAAAGATGAGGAAGTCTATTGGCATCAGAAAATTAGAAATCGGTGGATGCGGGTAAGGGATAAGAATTCAAATTACTTTCATGCTCAAACAAAATGTACAAGGGCGCGAAATCGTATTGTTGATTTATTTGAGAATAATGATGTTTGGGCTACGGAAGATAAGAATATTTGCGGGAATATTTTGAGGATTTGTTTACTACAACCAATCTTCAGGATTCTGAGCATGCCTTGAGGGAGGTTAATACAGTAATAACGGAGGATATTAACGGGTATTTAACGGCTCTGGCTACGGAGAAAGAGATTCACGCAGTGCTATTTATGATGCATCCGGATAAAGCTCCATGGACGGATGGTATGACAGCACTTTGTTTCCAAAAAGCATAGGGAGTGATCAAGGATGATTTGTTGGTTTTGGTAAACTCCTTTTTCCAAGATGGGTTTTTGGACAAACGTTTAAATAAGACGAACATTTGTGTAATTCCTAAGGTGGAGCGCCCGATGAGAATGTCGGAACTAAGGCCTATTAGTTTATGTCAAGTGCGTTATAAGGTAATCTTCATGGTGCTCTGTCAACGGCTTAAAATGGTACTTACAAGGTTAATTTCATAAACTCAATCTGCTTTTGTGGCTGGACGTCTTATTCCAGATAATATTCTGATCGCCCAGGAAATGTTTCATGGTCTCCGGACTAACCCTTCTTGCAAGAGTAAATTTATGGCTATCAAAATGGATATGAGTTAGGCCTATGATCGGGTTGAATGGGCTTTCATAGAACATTTGCTTAGGAAGATTGGTTTTTCAGAAAAATGGATAACTTGGGTCATGTTTTGTGTGTCCTCTGTTGAGTATCGTGTTCTCATTAATGGACAACCACAAGGATCCATTATACCGGAAAATGGATTATGGCAAGGCGATCCCCTATCACCGTATTTTTTTATTTTATGTACGGAGGTCTTAATCGCTAATATATGAAAGGCGGAACATGATAAATCATTAATCGGAATCAAGGTGGCAAATAAATGCCCCTCCGTGTCTCATCTTTTGTTTGCGGATGATAGCTTGTTTTTTGTATAGCTAAGACGGAACAATGTGCGGTAATCTTGGATATCCTTAGGAAATATGAAGAGGTTTCAGAACAACAAATTAATTTTTCAAAATCTTCACTCCAGTTTGGTCACAAAGTGGGCGAGCCTTCTAGGCTGGTTATTCAAGCAACCCTTGGGATAACAAATTTGGGCGGTATGGGGTCCTATCTATGGTTGCCGGAATGTTTAGGCGGAGCTAAAACAAAAGTTTTTGCCTTTGTAAGGGATAGGCTACATAGTCATATCAATGGGTGGTCGGGCATGTTGCTTTCGAAGGGTGGTAAGGAAGTCATGAATAAATATGTCGCGTCAGCTTTGCCAATTTACGTGATGTAAAAGTTTTCATCTACCGAGGACTATAACTTCAAAACTAACAAGTGCAATTGTGAATTATTGGTGGAGTACAAACGGTCAGGCAGGAGGTATGCACTAGCGGGCTTGGGAGAAATTAAGCTCTAGTAAGCAGGCGGGTGGATTAGGCTTAAGAGCCGTCTATGGTTTTAATTTGGCTCTTCTGGCTAAGCAATTATGGAGACTGATTGATGTCCATGATTGCCTCTTTGCTAAGGTTTTCAAGGGTAGATATTATAGGAATTTCAATCCTAAGGAACTAGTTAAATCCCCATCCTATAGGTGGAGGAGTATTATTTTTGCTAGGTCTCTGGTTAATAGAGGGCTTATTAAAAGAGTTGGACTAGGGGACACCATTTCTATATGGTCTGACCCTTGGATTCCAGCTCAACTCCCGAGATCAGCATTAAGTAATGGGTCGCTTTTGGCATTTTACAAAGAATGGAAAATATTCAGTTAAATCTGGTTATCACACAGCCAGGTTGCCGGATGAGGAGCATGTGGTTTCGGTGAATCCAATGTGTGGCCCAGATATTGTTCCCTTGCTTGCTAGCATCTGGAAGGTCCGGTGTCCACCTAAAATCCACCACTTTATGTGGCAAGTGCTCATAGGCTGTGTCTCAGTTTTGGCAAATCTAAGAAAGCGAGGAATTAATTGTGTTTCTGGGTGTGTCAGGTGTGGAACTTAGACGGAGAAGATTAAGCATGCTATTTTTGAGTGTCCTCCAGCACGTCAGGCTTGGGCTCTTGCGCATATACTTGCGGGTACAATTGCCTTTTCAACGATATTGATTTATGCAAATATGGATTATATACGTCGTCTAGAGGTGAGAGTAGGTCTCTACGAATTTTATCCATGGTTATTATGGTATATTTTGAAGGCTAGGAACGCCAAAGTGTTTGAAAATGTGGATGAATCTCCTCTAGAGGTAAAGCGAGTTGCGAGGGAAGAAGCCAAGGCCTAGTACGAGGAATAAACGGAGGAGGAGGAAGCAGTTATGCCACCTGTAAACACCTCTCTGGTGAGGGTTTGGTTGCTTCAATTTCCTTTAACGTTCACAGGGTACAGGTGCTATATAGATGGGTCATGGAAAGACACTGATAAGTATGCATGGCTAGGCTGGGTTTGCCAGCATGCTCAGGACTCCTCTACGATCATGGGACCATCAGATCTCCGACGGAAGTCTATCTCCACTTCATTCAGAAGTTGAGGCATTGCTATGGCGATGTATGATTGTGCACGATTACAGAGATGTTACTTTTCTTACGGACGGTTCCGACTTGGTGAAGATGGTGTCTTCTCCTTTCGAGTGGCCGGCGTTCTCTGTGTACCTGAATGGTATATGTATTGATAGAGAAGAATTTCTCATCTTTTTCTTTATCCCTTATTCCTAGAAATGCGAATGTAAAAGCGGATTGTTTGGCTCGACGTGTTCGTTCCATTAACAACTCTCCACCCAATTGGCTCTTTTGAGCTAATCTTTCAGTTTATGTTGACAAAAAAAAAACCCATAAAAAATCATATCTATGTAAACTCAAACCCTCTCTATCACATGACCCAATATAGATTTTAAAGTCGACATTTTAAATTTAAATTTTAAAACGATTTTGTAAAATATTAAAATTTTCTTTTAAAAAATGAGATATTTTAATGATTTAAAGAAAAACATAAATTTATTGTATAGATAATCTAAATAATTTTATGTTAAATGTAAAGATTGTGTAACTCTAAATTGAAATTGATTTAGCAAAATGTAGTAAATTTATTAGAGATAATTTAGGAACGAACTTTGTTTAAGGATTTTAGAGCCATATATTTTAGGAATAAAAATATTATAGAGAGATTTTAGGAGATTTTAGTATTGGTTTTTTTATATTATTACAAAAAAATTTAGTGTCAATGATATTTGATTGTAAATAGCTTGAAAGCCCAAGGTTTTTTTTTTAAACATTGCTGCAAAAATGTTATAGTAGATACCAAGAAAATTCGCATTACTCGGCTCACCAATCTTGTCACTATCCCCACATATTACCAAATTTCTTTGAGCTAGAGTTTTCACCACAGCAAATATTCTCAATAATACATCTCTCAAATGGCTTGTTTCTCTCTTTAGTTCTTTTTGAGCATGATCATGAGAACTTTCATGTTCTTTTAGCTTTCTTGAAAAGTTTCTCTTATAAAAATAACATGTGGTTGCCAAGTGACCCACAATTTTTTTCTCATGCCTGAAGAATTTGCAGTAAAAACAAAATTTTTTATCCACAGCTTTTGAGTATATTAACCATGGTTTATCTTGTTTCTCTCCATTTACCATATCGCTTGTGTAGAATGATTGCAAGAGATGTCTACCAGTAGCATCTTAAGGAAATCGATAATCGCTTCACAATGTTGGTGTATGACCATTTTTTACCAATATTTTCTCAATTTCCTGATTTTCCAAGCACAGATTTATGAGATATATGTTCTATTTACTTGTTGCTCTTCTCCCTCTATTTTCCAATCTCATCTTAATGAGTCTCCGCATGTTTACTTAATTTCTCATGCTCAACACAATTGTCACGAATATCACTGATATCTTCATCTTCATATTCGTTTCTTTGAGTGCTAATTATTTCACCGACATTATCATTTTTAGGTTTATTACTTTTTTTTGTCTTTACGTGATGCTAAAAAGAAGAAAAAAAGTTATACACAAATTTAAATCAAACATGAAACATTTATGTATACATTCAAATTTCTTTCACAGGTTACGAATCAAAATTAACAAGTAAAACAATCTAAATGAAATTTCAAGTCTATTTGTAGCTTTTATATATTTTACTTACACAATCACAAAACAAGTATAATAACAAATTTAATCCAACAATCTAAGTAACTAATTATTATTCTATTATTCATACGATGTTCGATCCTATAGGCTACAACAAATTATGAACAAAATTCTTATGCCTTTTATGACTTGACACCAACAATGGTTAATGAATAATAGTATACTACGATTAGTCAAAGCAAAAGTTTCAAATTTTTAATCAAAGTTAAGAGTTACTATGTACGTACCTTTGTTTATGAAACCCTACGATATTCATTCCTCAATCATTGATTTTGAATTTTGTTTAATGCAAGAAGCTTTGGGTTTTATTTATTTTAAAACAAAATTTTTCATTACAAAACCTTTAATTATTTAAAATTTTTAAAGCCCACAATATATAGTAAAAGAAATTAAGAAAAGCCCAATAAAAATAAAATATAAAAAAAACTTAGATTTTGTAGAAAAATAAAAGGCCTTTTTAAAAAATGTAAAATATGCCCCATATATTTTGATGCCCGAATCCACCGTTTCACTTGGGCATGTGTCCGCCCAAGTTAAACAAAAAAAATACTAATAGAAAAAAATATTTGACCTAAACACTTAAACGACACGCACAAACACATAGTCTCATGTCCTTAATTCCTTTAACACATAGTCTCATCTTCTATGAGAAATACCACCACACAAACCCTTTTGAATTTGATCTAGTCGAGCTCTCTATCTATCTTACCACAAATCCTGGCACAACAATTCTGCTTCAAATCTTTGAGTTTTTTTACCATAATCATGATGCAAGCACTCCTCAAAATCATAGATGGGGCGTCGTTTACTCGAATTCACACACTTCGGCCATCTTCTGAATATCCCCTTTCTCTGCCGTCTCTAATTTCTCAGATCCGAAACATCTTGGATTCTTCATCCTCTTCAAAGAATCTCCTCCCCCATGGCCTAGAGATCTAAAAAAATCCTAGATTTTCCTCTCGATTAATTTGATTTTGTAACTGGGTTTTTAAGTATTGAGGTGAATTTTATTTCTGGGTTAGCTGATTTTGTAGGTTTATAATAAGATCTATGCAAGAAGGGTTTCTCAGCTGGGTTATGAGATTAACCAAACGAGAGGAAGAAAAAACCCACAAAGTGTTTGTCTTTATTCATCACTAACAATTCATTAATTCTTTATCAAGTTTAAAATTCGTAGTTTTGCTTTCTTATTGTCTCATTTTAAGGATTTTTTGTTCTTAGGTGTAGAAGAATATCAAATTTGCTAGGTGGAGGCTGCTGAGCATTATGCTTGGAGATTTAATCTTAATGAGGTGATTTGTTTACCAGATATTATAAAACAGTCAAAATTTTAAGTTTTTTTTTATATTAGTCAAAATTCACAAGCAAAGTGTTTGCTTTGATTCTTCATTGACAATTTCATTGGTTATAAGGAGGCTGAGAACTATGATTGCTTAAAAGGTAAAATCTTTATATCTATTTGATTTTAGGTATGATTTTAATTTGAGTGTTATTAAAGTTTTGAACTGTGAAATTTTGAAGTATCATTACAAGTAGTTTGATTTCAAAAAATGGGCTTAGATATATGAAAATTGTTGTTTTTTTGTCTTTTTTTTTGTTTTTGTTTTTCTTTAGAATGTGTTGTTCCATGATTAATTTTTTAAATCTTAAGTTTAGTTTTGGATTCTGTTTGTGTTGTGATGTTTTCATATTTTTATTTCCCATTTCTTACAAAGTTGAGATTAGATTAAGCACGCTCATATCAAGAATTCGATTTTTCTTAGCTTGCTTCGTATTTTGTTTCGTCTTAAGATAGATTGTTCTTGTTTCATTGAATTTTTAGGTTACAAATTTATATTAATAAAAATTTGATTTTATATTTATCATGAATAGATTATTGAAATCAAAAATAGAGAGATTTAAAAAAAAAAATCAAAATTACAAAGTAAAATTTAAATATTGATTTAAAGCCATAAACAACAATAATTTAACGTATCATAACAAAGACGATAGCATATTTTCAACAGCTATAATATATCCTACTAATATTGCATCAGAAAAAATGGTTATCTAAGTGGTAGACCAAGGGTAATGTGCGAGATATAGCACCTTTCTTAATGCTATGGAATTGTTAAATAGCATTATTTGGCCGCTATTAAAAACCAAGATTCTTGTAGTGTAGCTTTAATGGTTCATTGTTTTTGTTTTCATGACTTTATTACAAATCTTTGTTCCATATTACTACTGCCATCGTTAGCTTCTCGCTACTTTGTGAAATTTTTAGATGATCTGCATTTATGAAGTAGAAAACAATTTTATGAAGATCTTTATTCTCTTGTTTCCTTTTTTTAGTGGAAATAACTTTTAGAGAATTGTAGTTTAGTGGAGATTCAATAATAGTTAATAACATTTAGAAGAAGATTTGAGATCAATAGAATTAATTTCTTGATATAGCTCTCCTTGTTTATGCTATGAATGATTTTATTCTTAGCTTACACATCAGTTCTCTTAAATATTATAGTATATGTATTAAATCCTTGTCCATCCAAATGTTTGTTCAGCTAAATTCATAAACTAAACTATAGTAGTTGCTTGATCGTGGGTTAATGTGTTTGCTTTTAAGACACCTCATGTAAGTTGTTTGCATCACTTTCATTATTTGGATATGTTTCTATATGTTTTTCCCTCTTTCTGTAATACGACTCTCCTAGAATCGACACTCTTCAAGTTGAGGGAATGATAGGCTTTGCACCTAAGGGATCGTGAGATCACTTAGACCAAAGGATGTGGAGCAAATGGTCGCACAAAGGTTGCGGGAGAGCCTTTGATTTACCAAACTTGGACTTGCCTATGGATATTACACACCAAAGTAAAGAACAAGAGAGAGTGATCTAACTTAGAAAGAGTTTTTGATAAACAGATTAGATTAGTTACAAATGGGAGGTATAGGGGGATTATATAGTAGAAGGGAAAGAGAGAGAAGAAGAACATGCACAAGTGCCTTGGAAATACACTCATGCAAGTCAATGCACCAAGTCTTGGAAATAACAAAAACATTAAATGCAAGAATGAATAGAACAGATAGAAAATGGGCCAAGGCAAAGTGGTTGGCCTTGGACCCACGAATTTGGCTTGGTAAATGGCTTTGAAAGTGTTACTTAGGCCTCATTAAAAACCTTGTCAAGAAAACTCATTGGGACAAAACTTGACAAAGGAAAAAGAGTGCATAAGCAACACTTAACCCTTTACCGAACCTTTTGAGTCGTGATAATTATTGAGGAGACTTGAGCCACGTCTTCTTGCTTCTTTTCTAGCTCCCTAAGTTTTCCATTGGTTAATGGGTTGAGCTCCTTTAGCCTGGAGCATGTTAGAGGACCTTCCGGGATGATTAGTGCTTCCTCCGCTTCGAGCTGCTCCTCGGCAACGTGCTGCTCCTTGGTGACATGCAGCTCCTCGTCTTCGTGTTTATCCTCATCGTCTTCGTGCTGCTCCTTGTCAACGGCTACCTCCATTACGTGCTCCGAGACTTGTTCGACCATAGTCATATAACTCTGCCAGATACCTATTTGCCATTTTCACTTTTTTCTTATACCAATAATCTTTGATTTTGAAAATCTTCTTTTTTTGGCCCTATCTCTTCGTTACAGCTACTTCCTAGCTCTCCACATATCTTTCAACATCTAAGTGATTATTATCTTCCATGCTTACCTCGCTAGATTGTGTGCCCTTCATATAGTTATGTAGTTCTTTCATAGCTAACTCAGTTCAACTTTTAGGAGCAACAAAAAATTTTAATACGCTATAAGCCAATAAAACAATATAAGGACTTTTCTCCCAATATACCAAGAGGTTACATAATCAAATTTAAGTACTCACTTCATCCAATACTTTGTTAATGAAATTCTTGAAGGGATCAAGAGACTGCATCTCTAGTTGGCATCTCTAATGCAGTCTCTGAATTCCCTTCAAGTATTTCATTAACCAAATATTGGATGTAGTGAATATTTTAATTTGATAATGTAACCTCTTGGGTATACTGGGAGACATGTCTTTATATTGTTTTATTGGCTTATTAGGTATTATAAATTTTTGATGACCCGAAACGTTGGACTGAGTATGCTGGGAAAGAACTACAGAACTATGTGAATAGCACATAATTTAAGGAGGAAAGTAGGGAAGATAATTATGATTTAGATGATGAGGGGGATGTAGAGAGCAAGGAAGTAGCTATAAAGAAGAGAAGAAGCCCAAAAAGAAAATTATCAAAACCAGAGATGATTGGTGAAAGAAAAAATGAAAATGGTAAACATGTATCTAGTAGAAAGAGAGCACAAAATATTGAAGCTTTTTGTGCGTTGATGGATTGGTTGATTCCATTCTGAAGATTGTATTGAAGCTTCTCAATATGATCTCTGTGGTTTGGGATTTTCTCTTTTTTCAATTGCTCGAGATCGGGTAACATTCGTGAGGTGGAAATTTTTTGAAAATTTTGTATTTTTCGATTGAATAGCGATTGAAAATTTTGTATTTTGTCATAACGATCAAAATTGCTGAAATTTTTGTTCTCTTTAAGATCGATTTCGTTAATCTTATCGAGAATTCTAAATTTCAAATCAAGAGTATGATGGATTTGTGAAAATTGTTTGATTATGGTTTTCGATTATGAAGAGTTCTCAAAATGGAGTGAAGATTTCGGTATGGTAGCTATTGTTTCTGCTCCAATGGCTCTAGCCTCTAAGGACTAAGATCTGCAACTCAGTATGGTGGCAATTTTGGTTGTGTTTATAGTTAATTAACAATGTAGTAAATATCCTGCCTGGTCAAATAAACCACTTGAATCTCACGATATATGATTTAGTTCAAGATCAAATGCTATGGAAACTAGCCAGGGATGTGTATATCCAGAGTATTGTATGGATTTGTTGGTCTGTGTATATTTGTCTTATAATGTATCTACCAACTCTCATTTTTCAGGTATTGAATATGGATGAGTTGTGACAACCACATGGAGTAAAGAATGCCACTTTTGAACTCCTTTACCGTTGTCATAACCCTGCCCCTTTACATCATAAACGTTTAACACTAGATCAACCAATGCATCTTCGAGCGAAGAGAAAGTCCTTATCCTGATTTATCCTTCACAATCAAAAATGTCAAGAAGAATTCCTCAATCTTGGTTCACGTTGTAGAGACATCGACACATCGAATAACCAAAGCCATTTGTTCTTTGTGACTAATATCCGGTGTACAATCAAGAATTATGGATAAATATTTGGAATCATGAATCTTCTTTATGATCATAACTTTGATCTCTTTTGCAAGCATCTCAATCAACTCATTTTGTATCTGGTGTCTAAGGTAATGAGAATAAAATTTATTTTTTCTCAATTCGCCTGACATGTTCCCTCATCACTGTATCAAAATTTGCAATCATCTCAATAACTATATTTTAACCCGCGGTACACCGCGGGATTACATTTTTTAACTAAATTTTTACCTTTTAAGTTATTTTTTGTTAATTTTGTTTATTTTCTTTACAGTATCAGATTGTATAACTCTATTTTGTTAGATAATTACACATCTTTTGTAACCAAATTAAAAATTTAAGTTGTATTTGGTTTGTTAATTTTGTATTTTTTTAATATTTAAGATTGTACAATTTTATTTTGATTGTTAATTCTATAATTTCACCCATGGAGTACCGAGACAATTTTTTTTTACATAATAATAATTTGGTCAAAATAATAAATATGTATAATATTCAAAATAATGAAATGATGATGAAATAACATCTTTCATTCAACTTATTTGATTTCCCCCAAAAATATTTTGTATGTAGACAACCCATAAAAATCATCTATACTATTAAAGCTGAAATATCCATTAGATTTACACCAAAGTTTTTAATTGAAGTAAAATGAAATACATCCATTTTGGATCACTAACTGGGTATGGATAATAAATCGGATATATCTGCAACAGATTATATCATTTACATATTTAATTTTGATTTTCCTAAAATATCTCTACCTAATTTAATATAATATATTATTATTACTATTATTCTCCTTTCACGTTTATATGATCTTATTTATATTTTATTTTATCTTTTTACATTAAACATATGTATAAAAAATAAAAAAGAATTCCCACATATATTGCAATTTGAATTTTTCTAAACGGATGTATATTACTCAATCGATAAAACAAAAATATGTATGTCCAACGTCCCACATCGGCTAGAAAAATTAAGACAATGTTTCAGAACCATTATAAATAGGACTAATATGCTTCCAACTACGAATGAGCAGGAAACTTGATTTCTCAATCATCCAAAATTTAAGAGTTTTATTCGGTTTAATCTGGTTCTTTATTTGAGCAAATTAAAACTTTTTAATTTTTTTAAAAATTTATAATATTAAAATATTTAAAAATATGAAAATATTATAAATATTAAACTTTTTTAAAAAGCTTTTAAAAAGTTTCAAAATATGACTGTTTTTAAACTTTAAATTTGTTTGTATATTTTTGTGTAATTGAATATATATATTTTGAAAACAAATATGTTTAGAGAGAACTTTAATAGTAGAAAATATAATTGCAAAAAGGAAAGTTTTTGAGCTGTTGTTAAGACTTTTGACTTACAATAAAACATAATTTATTGATAAGATACATTTATATTTGAGTTTTATGTATACGTCAGTTACGTTATAATGTTTTTTTTTTTTTCGAATTTTCAATGTTTTGAATTTTTACGTTATATATGTCAAATTCAAAAACATTTGTTTAACGCTTTTTTTAACTCAAATCAGATTGTGAACTAAATTACCTTCGGGTCATCATATCACTATTTAACTGGGTTCACTGTTTTATATGTATTTATATAGATTATGCAGTTATATAAAATAAAAAATAAAACATCATTCGTGCAGTAGCACGGAATATCCTCTAGTATATATATAAACTCATCAGGAAGGTTATTGGTGCGCCTGGCGTTCCTCGAACCCAGGTCCTCACCCTTTAACAACCTTCCCACCGTGGAAGTTGTCACCAATTGAACTGCAGATCAACTGGTGACAACTTGTCTGGTGGGAAGGTTGTTAAAGGGTGTGGACCTGGGTTCAAGGAACGCCAGACGCACCAATAACCTACCTGGTGGGCCAGGAGGCTGCGAGCAGTGGGCTGCGCAGTTTGGACCCATAGGAAAGAGGTTAGGGTCGATGCGCTGCAGCGCTTGTAGCTGCCATGTGGCGGGGTGTGCCATGTGGCAGGAGTTCCCACCGGGATGGGTTGTTACAACTCAATCCCTCTCTATCGCATGACCCAATTTAAAGTCGATATAATGAATGTCTTTAAATAACTATATTAGTATTTTTGCAAGCTTTTTGTGCAACATTTAATGGCCACATTTATTATAATTGTTTTTTAAAAAAAAAAATTCCCTAAAAAATACTACGTTAGAGGTTAGATTCGAACCCAGAATATGTTGATACAAAATAAACTACTTTACCACTAGACTACATTAATATTTAGCATTATCATGTAAACCAATAAAATATTATCATGTAAACCATCAAATATATATATTTCATAACGGGTGACTGAAATTTTACCCTACTTAGCAATTTTATTACACATGTTAGCGCATGTTAAGTCGTGTGTTCAGAAAGACCAAATTCTAAAAGAAAAACAATTATATACACTAATTTAATAATTCGAGTAATTTTTTCCAACAAAACAAACTGGTTATTAAATGTCCAAATAAAAGTAACATGGGATAGAATATTTTCTTAAGACTGTATAGAATATTTAAACTATTACTTATAAATATTTAAATTCTATTAAAAGTTTAAGTGTTAATTTTAACTCTTTAAAAAGTTTAAAATAAAGTATTATTGACTTTACCACAATTTTAAACATGTTATTAATTTTTGGTCATAGGTTGTTATGCCAAATATATATGGAAGCATTTATTACAAATTTTGGTTGTTTTAAAAGTAACATTTATACACGGGTTGTATAACGAGCGAGTTTGAATCAATATTACTTTAATTTTAAACTCTATAGAAAATTTAAAATAAAATCATTGACATTGACATAAGTTTAAACATATGTTTAATTTCCCAGTCATAAGTTGGTATGTGAAATCCATATTGAAACAATTATTACAAGTTATGAATATTTTTAAAATTACATTTATACACGGGTTGTATGACAAGACGGGTTCAAATCGATATTATTAAAATATTAAAATATCATTAATCTTATACTTCATAATGGGTTAAAACTTCATTATACTATTTTTTAACAACACCAATAGAAAACATGTCGTATCAAGCTGATTTAATTAAGTTTGATATAATGTAATCTTAATATTTTTTAAACAAATTCTATCATAATAGAAAATTTTAAATTTGAAATTTTAAAATTAAAAAAGTTGTCTCGCGGTATACCACGAAATGAAATCTAGTTAAAATAATATAAAAATTAGTTTGTGTCTTTCCACAAACGTTTGTGCCTTCCCAAATACATTTAACACCCTCAAACATATGAATATCTTTAAGTTTAATCATAACTAGGTAATATCTATAATAAGTTAAGTTCATTTTCATTTTAATTTATTTAATAATTAGATTTAAAAAACAAAAAAAATAGATAAACTTCAATATCAATAACGTTTTGTACAGTTTTATTTATTCAAATCATACAATATAATCTGGGTACTGGCTAGCACAAAATTTGATAGGAGAGGCTGAAGAGAATCCAAGCTATACTGTTCTAAAAGTGTATGCATGGCATATTCGCACTCCCCCAAAAATCAAACATTTTATTTAGCAAATTGCCACTTGTACACTTCCGGTCATGGACTCCTTAGCTTCTCGCAAGATTCATTGTGACATGGTATGTAAAAAATGTGGTTTTGAAATCGAGAAAATTAATCATGCGCTTTTTTAATGTGCGCATTCGAGGCGAATTTGGGAATTGTCTACTCGAAATTCCTAGGTGGTTTTCCTTATAGCTCGAAATTGTCTATTCCTAGGAGGTTTTCCTTATAGCTCGAAATTCACAAATCTAGATTTCAATTTTTTGGAGTGTGATTCCTTGGTTAGGGGAGAAGGAGAAAAAGCATTTATTTCCATGGATTTTGTGGTTTATATGGAAGGATAGATATAAAAAGGTGTTCCAAGGAGCTCAGTCTGAACCAGTAGACATCATAAATCAAGCTTTAAGTGAACAATTATTATGGGAAGAGACCCAAATTAGTTCGACTAAAGTAACTAAACCAATAGAACCTTGAAATGTCTCCTTTGTTTATAAAGTAAATAGATTGATTGATATGGAATTAAGTTATAAGGGTATGAACATTTTTCTATCTTTTGTGTATGGCGATCCGGTTCTTAAGTGTAGAGATATGGTTTGGGAGAGGTTAATGAGGATTGGTTTGAATAGAATGGCACCATGGTTTATTATCTGTGATTTTAATGAGATTACGGGTAATCATGAGAAACGAAGAGGTAAACTACGACATGCATCTTCTTTTCTGGCTTTTAATGGAATGATTAGAACTTGTGGTTTTATTGATTTCCCATATATTGGTCGCTGGTTATCTTGGCGGGGGTGGAGAGATGAGAAACCCATTCGATATCGGTTAGATAGAGGTTTTGGCAATGAAGATTGGCACGATATATTTTCGCATACGGTTACGGAATATCTAGCGATTATTGGGTCTGATCATAAACCATTACTCTGTACTATAGTTAAGAAGACGGGACCCAGGAAAAAGGTTTTATTTTGGGTGAATTGGTGGTATAGGCAGTTTTCTGAGAAAAAAATATGTTTTTTGGCCCCTTTACTATTCAAAATTGGGAGTATAGGCTGCTAGTACACGTTGTGTCAGTGAGAGAGGGAGTGATTTGTGTGAGTGAGAGATGAAGCGTGTAATAGAGAGGGTGAAAATACCAAAAAGGCACTACAAGAAAACATAGGATATTCCGACGACAGATATAGTCGGAAATTGGTCGGAAAAACGCAATTCCGACTAATTTCCGACGAAACCAAACTCCTCGGAAATCCTTGGTCGGAAATGAAGATTCGTCGGAAATTGGTCAGAAACTTCCGACGAAACATTTGGAAGGAATTTCGTCGGAAATTAGTCAGAAGGTTTTGTCGGAAAATTGTCAGATGATCTCGTCGAGAAGTTGTCGGAAAATGTCGTCGGAATAGCGTC